GCGTGGCTGCTGTAGGTGTGGCTGGTCTGAGGCTGCTGATCTGCTATGATGGGGCCACGCCAGAGGGGGGACAGGTGGGAGGCTGTTTATCACTGTGAGGGGCCTCAGAGCTGCGCTGCCACCCAGGGTTTTAGGGCGCCCGGAGTTCCCCGGGATTCCCAGCTGTTGGGCTGAGTGGGCTAGGACGCTTCCATCCAGCTGTGAGGCTCCTGTCCATTTAAGACTTCCAAAGGCACTCGCTTTTCTTTTGTCCCAGGGTCGCCGGCTGCAGGGACCCACTCACAGGTCTTACTGTTCCGTTTCCCTAGTATCCAGCACCTCACACACTGTGTGTCTGTGCTCTGGGTGCAGATGGCTAGGGCTGGCTATTTAGCAGTCCTGGGCTCCCTCTCCCTCCCCGCTCTGACTCCTCTCCTCCCGCCGGGGAGCTGGGGTGTGGGGCGCTTGGGTCCTGCCCGGCCGCAGCTTGTATCTTACCCCCTTCGTGAGGCGTTGGGTTCTTGCAGGTGTAGATGTAGCCTGGCTATTGTACTGTATCTTCTGGTTCCTCTTTTAGGAATAGTTGTATTTGTTGTATTTTCAAAAATATATATGGTTTTGGGAGGAGATTTCTGCTGCCCTACTCATGCCACCATCTTGACTCCTCCTCTGTATATATTTTTTTAGGTAGAATTCACATGACAAAAAATTTACCACTTTAAAGGACCAGCAAAATGCCATTTTAGTACATTGACAATGTGTAACCTCCACTCTACCTGGTTTCCAAAACAGTCTCATGCCCCCAAATACAGTTCCATATCCATTAAGCACTTAATCATAGATATCCCCCTTCTCCTAGCCCCTGGCAACCACTAGTCTGCTTTCTATTTTGTAGATTTACCTGTGCTGGACATTTCATATAAACAGAATCATACAATATGTGACCTTTTGTGCCTGGCTTCTTTTATTTAGGATATTGTTTTCAAGATTCATCCATGTAATAAGATGTATAAGTAGTCCATTCCTTTTTTACAGCTAAATAATACTCCATTATATGTGTCTGCAACAGTCTGTTTATTGTTTGGCCGTTGTCCCTACCTTCTGACTCCTGGCAGTAGTACTGGACCATAGGTGTACAAATAAAGTCGGTTCTCATTCCTGGTAATTGTGCTCTCTAAAGTCCCTGTGAACATGCAGTTAGCAGACACGGAAGCATTGCTTCCAAGGGAAGGATGGCCACTAGCCTGTAAGCCATGCCTGAGTGAAGCTCATCTCTCATGTGTGTTTTCTCCATATGGCACATCACAGATGTCATGCACTTAACACTAGACAGCATTTCAACACAACACTTGGTGGCCATTCTAGACACTGAAAGCACCCACAATAAAGCACCAAAATGGGAAAAAAATGGTACTGCCTAGACTGCTAAAAGGACACTTGTTTAGAGTCTGAGAGCTGAAACTGGGAGGCAGAGCATTACTTTGTCCTCATCTGGCATGTGTATATTGGGTGACTCACATTTTTTGCTGCTCTTTGTGTGTGAAAGAAAACCCGTGAGTATTCATTTTGGGTTTGCCAGCAAACTGTGATGTGTAGGCCAGTTCACAAATGTACCTGCCAGTAATGAGGATTGACTATCTGCAGTCCTTGTTTGCCGTCCTTTTGGGCATATATGTAGGAGTAGAATTGGTCATATGGTAATTCTGCGTTTAACTTTTCAGGAACTGCCAAACTGTTTTCCACAGCAGGTGAACCATTTTACATGCCCACCAGCAGTGCACAAGGATTTCTTTTTCTGTACATTCTCATCAACACTTGCTATTTTCTGTTGGGGATCATTACATTTTAAATATAGAAAGTGCATGAACTTCTAATAAGGAGATACCTGATGCTTTTTACTTTATAATACATCACTTTCATATGAAGACGTCTTTATAAATCGAGTTGCTCCTAACAAGGGCAGCTAAGCACTAATTAGTAACCAGGATTTGGAAACCCTTTATCTGATTTACAGATAGCACAAGTATTTTTGTCTTAACTATTCACTTTGTAATTTTCTCAACCTAACAACAGTCATCTTTTATTTATATACCTGCATGTGTGTGTGTGTTTAATCTGAAAACAGCATCTCCAATGGCTTCATAGTTCATTATAGGGTGAACTTCACTCTGTTAGATTTATCTGCTGTGGCCATTTTTAGGAATTTTCCTTATGGAGATACTTTGTGAGTATTGTTGAAAGTATTCATAGTAGTTTACAACATTACTGGCAAAAGTTTGTTCATGCATGACTGGAATTTACGTTTCTGTGCACTGCATTGACTGGCAGTTAGTACCCACTCCAGTGGGTCCTTTTAAGTCAAGGGCAAGCCTGTCCTGGCTGTGGCTCTGACCCTATTGCTATGTTCTGTTTCTAGGGATAACAGGCATCGATCAAGTGTTGAACGTTCTTCTCACAACTGCTATGTTTGTAGGAGGCTGTGTGGCTTTTATTTTGGATAACACCATCCCAGGTATGTGGTCAAACATGCTCATTACATATGTGGATTTTTTTTTTGGCCAAATAAATATGGGAAGCAGGAAGAACAAATTATTTCAAAGCCACCCCTGGTTAAAACTCTTTTCTAAAGTGGTTATGATGACACTCCCACCCTCCTTTAATGAATCAGGTTTTTGCTAATCAACTTAGGGGTTTTTTCCTCCTTGCTGAATTATTTCTAAGAGAAAGCAGCTAACTTCCTGGCACATGGTGAAAGCACAGTGGGGTTTTCATGGCCCACCTGTTCACACGCCTCTGAGCCAGCCAGTAACAGCCTGGGGCACTTCTCCCTGAGGAGCCTGTCCTTCAGAGGGGTCTTTCGGAAGGCAGGCGCCCAGACAACTAGGATCAGAAGACGGCGAGAATGGTGGGCACAAGCTGCTGCCAGGATCAGTGACAGAGAGCTGTGTGGAGGCAGCTCTCTCTCCAACATCCATAGTCCTCAGCTGGGTGCATTCTGTGCCAGATGCTGGGGAACAGACAGGGATGTGGTGTGGGCCTGTCCTCTGGCCTTCCCAGCTTCCTGGAAGAGGATGCTGTGTACCGTTGTGAAATGCTGCAGGACACATTGGTAGATTCACCTGCCATCAAGGAAAGATGATGCTTATTGTCATGTGTGAAGGTTTTATTGTGATTTTCCCCTTGTGACAACCCAACTCTAAAAAGCCTCAATCAAGAGGTTGCTGGGGAAACCAGGAGTGAACACATGAGGCAGAAGAAATCACATGCATGAATAGGTGGAAGGTGTTAGGTTTATGGGGGTCAACGAGTAACACCCTTTTTCTGTCCTAAGTCAGAGCTAATTGAGAGAGAAGCACAGGAGTCAGATGGGTGGAAATTAAAGTCAGTTTTGTTACTGAAACAGTGACAGCAGGGCCTAGCTTAACCTTAAGTGAATAATGAGGTACCTAAACAGTGCACCAAAGACTGAAGCTCGTTAGCCAGGCTTATGCAGAGACATCTGTTGTTGGCTGTCCCACGTGGCCAAAGCGGTGCCTTGCTCCTCAGCACTGGGAAGATTGTAGGAAATAACCAGGAGAGGCTGAGCCCTGTGGGCACAGGTCGGTCGTCCTGATTCATCTGTCAGAGTGGCCCCAAGTATTAATGCCATTGGAAGTTCACTCTCACAGGAGCAAGACAAGTGAGGAATACATGACACACACACACATAGCACACACGCACACAGCAAAGCAGAATAAAACCTGGTGTGTCTGGATGGGGTGGTTTGCTATGACCGATTGATGAAGGCATTATGTATGGTATAGTAAAGACTCTGGGACCCATTTTGCAAAATAGTATTTGCATTTTAGGAGGTTTATTTGTTGCAATGTGAGAGAACAGATTTGGAGGAGGGGACAACCAGTTAGGGGCAGATACGGTGACCCAGGAAGGCAGTAATGTGGCCTGGGCCGTGTTTACCCTCAACGGTGAAAACTGATAACATGGGTCATGTGGAAGGACAGGGAGGAGGGAAGGGCATTAGGAGATCAGGAGATCATTTAATATGGAGCAGGAGGAACAAGGGTGGGTTACTAGTTCTTAGATTTCTGGCCTGGGCACCTGGATTGTCCAAGTGCCATCAACACTAGTGCCATTGTCTAGGGCTCTTTGCCGTCATGCTGGCATGTTCCATATATAGGACAGCATGTCGGAGAATATCAATTCTTGGTAGAACTGTTAAACATTCCACTATATTGTTCTGTTTTGTTTTGGGGTGTGTGTGTGTGTATGTGCCACAGGTACTCCAGAGGAAAGAGGAATCAGGAAGTGGAAGAAGGGCGTGGGCAAAGGGAGCAAGTCCCTCGATGGTATGGAATCCTACGATTTGCCATTTGGTATGAACATTATTAAAAAATACAGATGCTTCAGCTACTTACCCATCAGCCCAACCTTTGTGGGCTACACATGGAAGGGCCTCCGGAAGAATGCTAACAGCCGGAGCTCAGACGAGGACTCGCAGGCCACGGTATAGCCTTAGCCCGCCCTGTGGCCTGGCCGCAGTGAGGCATGTGTCTGTAGTTCTTGCTGAGTAACAAGCAGTAACGTATATGTTTATATATCTGCATTTACATTTTGCACCTCAGAGCTAAGACAGATTACAAATAGCTTTTTTGTCGTGGGTGGTGATTGTGTCTAATACGGTGTTTCACCCAGCTCCTTATTTAAGCCCTTGACCCATTGCCCTTGAGAGCATCCATTGCTGGCTGTGGCCACCAAACTTGAAGTTCCTGTCCTCTTGTGGGAGTGGATGTTTGAAACACACAGTGATTCCTTGTTTTCCATCTCCTTCCACTACCCTGTGCTGGCTTTTCTACAAGCTGTTTCCAGGGGCTTTCTGTCCTAGAAGCACCTGGACCTACTTTGTTAAAATTTGACCTCGGCCCACACCTGCAGAGACCCCCTGTGGTCAAGGGGCACCAGTATCCTCACATTGTCACAGCTGACTGGTCAAATGTGATTCTGTGTTCCCTGATAGTCCTAAGGAGGAGGCTGTTGACCTTTTTGCAGACAGTGTCATGGTTACCCTGTGCCCACATCTGTGCATGGGTAAGGGCTGTACAGATGTTAGAATGGAAATCTATTTGGGGGATTAGAGGGGAAGGGAAAGAACCTTGTAGTCAACTACTCTTTTGTCAATGCTACCCTGGCCCAGTAGGAGCCAGTACATTCCATGCTGGCTTCTTTTCCGCTGTAACTGAGACACTATCTGGCATTTATCACTCATGGTTGGTGTGACGCCTGTAGAGTGCTACACAAGGGCACCAACAAATGTTTATTGGAGTCTTGGCTCTGCTGTCATGTGGATGTCAGTTATTGTCATGTGTGTCTATAATTACAAGATCTTATTCCTATTTAATGTTACTGACTATAGCAGATTTTTGAAATCAGTGTTTTTCCGACCCCCTTACCTTGCATCCCTATTACTTGTTCCCCTTCTTCTCACCCCCCATTAAGAAAAGAACCAGCTTTTGTAAAGCTGCGGATGCCATCGGGAAGCTTGTTGTCCTGGCTTTTGAAGGCCAGTAACCATTATTGTGGTTGTGTTTGTATTGCTTGATACCATGAAAGTGTAAATACTGTAATGCCTAATCTATTTATCAAAAACTGACTACTGGACCAGAACCCAGAAACTGTGGATTAAGTTATATGTGAATTTGTTTTGTGAAGAAGGGATGCTGGGGCAGGCAACCAACAGAGCCGCCATATTGAATGGCTTGGCAGCCTGGTAATTACCTCGCTGCATTTCTGTTGAAAGTCATTTCTGGCATATAAGGCTTAAGGAGACTTCCTGTGTGTTGCCATATTACATGTCCCCCGCTGGACCTTAATTTTTCAGAGGGGAAGATTAGGTCCTGGCCAAATGCTGCTCTTCTTGTGTAAGTTACTGCAGAAGGTGGTGAGAAAAGCAGCTGGTCCCCCTTCCATTGAGTTCTAATTAATAACACTAAATTATTTCTGAAAAAATGACTTTTATTGAATTTGGTTTGAGAATTTTCAGCCAGAGGAAAAAGCCTGAAACCTAAGTAGTGACCTTGCTACGTGAGGACATGCTTCCTAAGAATTAGTTGGCTCTGTCGAGCCCCGGACAGCAGCAGACATTCCTGTGTCCGACAGCAGGGCATGGTTCTTGGCAGCCTGCTGTCCACAGGGTGTGTTTCCTGGCCCTGCAGCTGGCTCTGCTTTCCTGCACTGGATATCTTTGCAGCATTATGATGTCAGTATAGTCTCCTTGACTTCTGGAAAGTTTGGGACTTGAAGGCATATTCTGGCAAGAATATTTGAGAGCCACTGCATTGTTCTGCCAAGATCTTACTGCAGATTAAGTAAAAGATTCAGATTCTAAATTACATTTAAATTTGTATGTTGTTTTTTACAATTGCATTCAGTGAATAGTTACTTTAGAACCACACAGGTTCATGATTTTCATCCTTTTACCTTGGTGTAAGGCCTTGAGGCCGACAGCCCTCCTACACTGAGTCATCTCACTTCCTTCTGTTTGTATTTCTGTTCAGCATCTCCAATTTCTCTGCTCAGACAGGCAGGGAAAACTGTTAAACATCCCAGAGGTTAGCAGCATTCTATCTCTGTAGGTGAGCAGAAGGACCAAAACCCAACTAAAAAGCATCTGAACCATGGGTAAATCAGGAACAAGCTCCTTTCAGCTTAACTTGACCAGGCATCCTCCATCCCAGTGGTTAACACGCAGGCTGTGTGCTTCAAATGTCCAGAAACCCACTGCCTTCTGACACCCCTCCTGGGCCGGGTTTTATTGGGAGGTTTCAAATCTGCTGGTCCAGGAGGTCTTCCCGCAAGCACTCAAATGTGGAGGGAAGACCCATACCACACCTCCTGTTGGGCAGAGGGGTTTTGCCTTTCTTGTTCAATTGGGGCCAACTTCAGATTTTCTGTCCATAGTGGGAGAAGGGGACTGGAGGTAGGGAAGAAAGAGGGCAGCCTGACCAGAGGGCCCATTGAACTTTCTGCCTGGCCTGGGAAAATCACTTTTGCTTGACTGGGTGGAGTTTCATGTTAATGTGCAGCACCCCATCCATTCAAAAAATAGTCCTGCTGCCAGCAGATATGCTGCAGAGGGAGTCTGTGGTTGAAAGAAACATGCATTCATCTGTTCCTGGGGTCGAAGCACACACCTGAAGGGGAGGTTTGGGGGGCATGGTGGTCATGCCGGGTCTGAGCCTGTGTACTTCCCGCTTGCCTTGTTGGCCTGCATTGCTGGGGCTGCATACCTACTGTGCCGCATTGGGCCAACAGAATGCTTTAAAGTATTTTGGATGTAACAGTCCTTGGGCAGGGCATCCAGGCTCCAGTTTCCACAGTGACCACCTGTGTACTGTCTTTGCATTTACATTAGTGATCCAGATGCGGGAAGTAGAAGTATTTATAAGGATACTCCAGTGGGGTCCACCGCTGGTTTTAATAAAATGTCTGTATAACATGGGTCACAGAAAATGGGAAATGGCTCCAGTCTTTGTAAGTAATTGTCATTCTCAGTCTCACTAGGGAATTGAGCTTAGATTGATTGATACAGAATATTTCTTAAGAGGGCTTCAAATGTTAACTTTTATTGTTTCTTAAGATTGATCAAAGCAAGAGAATTGGCTTAACCAAGCCAGCTGGGATGAGGGATCATGGGTCCTGATGGTTTCCTGTTTCCATGGTAACAAATTCACACACACACACACACACACACACACACACAATTTGCTTTATACTGTAGAATACTGACTTTCATGATGGCAACTTGGTTTATGCATGAATATTGCAGTATTTCCATATAGTAAAATAACATTTCTACCCAGGATAATATAGTTTTCCAGGGAGGGAATGATATAATTTTCATGACAATGTCATGTGATAATAGAATTTCTCCATTGATGAATCTCTAGTATGTGTGTATACTTTATTTACCCATGTGTATACTTTATGGCCACGAGCTAAGTTGTTTCTTTAATTCATGTCCCTGGGGTAATATTGGTACTAGCAACTTAGACTTGAGGTTGGCAACTATAACCTTCCATAATATTGATCACAGAGTGGCCTGGCCAGACAGAAGGCCAATAAGGAGCTGTGGCAGAAGCCTCCTTCCAGAGCCTGTCTGGCGCAGGGAGAGGAAGCATCCTTCAGGCAGCTGTACCGGGGGTGTGCGCTCGGCTGCAGACATTGTCCTGGCGTGGCTGCTGCTGGACACTCAGTGTGTGCAGGAAGCGGCACCCTGGACACTGAGGTGGTGCGCTGTGTACACACTTGAACTCCCACGGGGCCACTGCTCCAGGGAGCCACCCATTGGCTTTAGAGAAGAGCCTGGGGTTTCATGTGTTCTGCGTGTGGTGCTCTGTCCCCTTATGATTCAGACACAAGTAGAACATTTCCCTGCACCCCTCCTGCAACACAACCTGAGTAGTGCAAGAAGACCACCCATGGTTGCCAGCGTCCAGCTCCCGCACATGGACCTTTAAAGCATGTGGGTGCTGGGATCCCTTTTCAGAGCCTCTCATACATTCCTGCCCTTTCCAGTCCTTGATTGCGCCTCCTAACATCCAGCATCCTTAGAATTGTGTATTTCCTGGCACTTAAGACACTTACCAGTGTTGCCATCTTACTGACAGCTCAAGTTAATACCCTGTTTGTTTTGTTTGTAACAATCTTTGTTTGACACATTAATAAATTTCTGACTGTTCTTAAAACAGTGGGGATGTCTATATTTTCCTTGAGTTTTTGTGACTGACTTTGGCTCTCTACCTTTCCAGGATTTATTTTGTTTGTTTTTATTTTGAATACTGAGGGTATCTGGGGGTGGGGTTGTTTTTTGAGATGTGTAATTCTTTTATGGAGTTTCTAAAAAGAATTTTCATATTGTTTTTCTAACATGGCTTCATTAATCGTTTAAGTATTTTAAAAATATGTAATATTTGGACCAGATGTTGTGAATAATAGTAGAGATAAAGCTATTTTATTCTGTATTTTTAAAACTGTTCCATACAAATAAAAGCTCTCCTGGATGCAGGTCTGCTGTTCCCGTGCCTCCTTTGGTCTTTTAGAAACTAGTCATCAATTAGAAGTCTTCACCTAGGGGAGGAAAAATGACTAATAAAAAATTTAATTCAGCAAGTTCACAGATGTTACCATTGCCCAGGACCTGGAAGACCCAAAGCGGGAAAGTGGGATCCAAAGTGTTGCCCGCCCGCAGGCCTGGAGACCACACAGGTGGCCCTTGGGAGCGTGCCCGAGTGAGACCTCAGAGGAGGTGCTCGAGCTGGACTTGGGGCTCATTAACACAGTGACATCTGGAGGCCGGAGACCTTTTAGGCACCGGTGACCAGAAAGTCTGACTACATGGTGGAATGAAAGGCTCCGAGCAGCCTCAGCCCCTTGGGCTGGCTGGGTGTTTAGATGGCAGGAGATGCTGAGGTGCGGGTGCCATGCTGAGAGCAGCCGGTGGTGGCTCCTTGGTTGGATATGGCTCCCTAGTGAGGCGTGAAGGTGAGTCCAGGGGCCCTTAGATATATTTCTTAATTTAGAGTGAATTTACTAGTCCACGTTCCCACCCATCCCTGGTTCATGTCTGGCCATTTGGGCCGTGCGTGCCCACCACGGGGGTGTGCAGCCCGCTTTCTCCTGGTCCGAATACCTGACCTGTGACCCGCTGCTGGGCAGCTAGCCACAGGTGAAGTGTTTTTTTGTGAAAGGTACTAAAAAATAAAAGGAATACCCATGTTCCCACCACAGCTGGAACAAAAGTATATTACCAATACAAAGACCCTCTACCCCATGGGCTGCTCCTGGCAAATCCCCATCCACCAAGAGAGAAGCGCTACCTGGGTTTTGCTTTGCTACCTCTCCTGTTTTTTACAGTTTTGACATGCATATGCATCCCTAAACAATGTGCTGTCTAGTTTGTTCTGCATGTTTTTGGGCATTATGTAAAGTGAATGACTAAATGCCATCACGTTTCACTCGCTTTGGTGAGATTTTTTGCATGTTGGCACATGCCTATAATGTAGTTCATTCATCTTCCCTGCTGGGTAGTACCTCTCTACAGAGATCCTTTTATATGTATGTGTACATATGAATATGAACACATGGATAGTTTGTTTTGTTGTTTTAATGTGCTTGGGCAACAAGTGATCCATTGTGGTCTCAGGAAAATTCGGATGAGTTTAAAGCAGGAAAAATGACCCTCAGGTCCTCTGAGCTTCTTGCCCAACAGAAGACTTTTAGAAAATAAAAATATTTCACCTCAGGTAGTACCCTAATCGTTTTTATTGTGGCTCAGTGATCAGATAAATGAGCTTTGTAGGTAGACAGACCCATGCTCAGGTCTCAGAAAGTCCTCTCTTCACTGTGACAGACTGCTCAGTGTCCCCCAGAAGCTGTTCTCCCATTCTCCTATGGTCATGGAATCTCAGAAGGGCACAAGAGTATATACTTCCCAGCCTTGCTGGTAGCTGAGTGTCATCATGTGACCTGGCTCTGGCCAGAGCTGTAAACAAGAATGAAGGTGCAGCTTCTCGGTTGTGTTCTTAACCCTTTCCCTGCTCCCCTACCCTCCCTTCTGGAAAGCAGAGGTGGTGACCAACCCACGTGGTCCGTCTACACAAGGACAACACTTAGGAGGCCAGGAAAACGTGAAAGAAGGCCCTGAACTCCTAATGGCAGCTAGCAGCCCAAACTTTGGGTGAGAGAAATACACTGGTTTAAACCATTGTTACTGTGTCTCTGTTGTAGTAACCCAAACTGTGTCCTATTTAGGTTGTTTTTGTGATTTAAAAAAAAAAACAATCTAAAATTAGACTAGTGTATACAGAACAACTGACCACCTGTATAGCTTTGAGCGTGTTATTTAACTTTGTTTTCTTCTCTATAAAATGGAAGTAATACTCATCCAGAGCATTAGAAAGGATTATAGGGGTTAAGATAACAAAGCCTCAACAAGCTAGGTTCCATTTTTCCTCAATTCCTCGCCAGGCCTTGTAGGCACACACACATATTTTTACAGAGCCACAACCACAGTGTACGAGCTTTAACTGGAAGAACTGGCCAGGCCAGAGCTGGCTCTTGGCAATGGCAATCTGCAGTCATGGGTCCTGTCCTAGTTTCTCTGTCTTCTGTAGACTAGCCAGATCCTTAAGCGACCCAGATTTAAATGTAAAGACCCTCACTGACACCCAGATACATTTCCTGAGTTTGACCGCCACCTGGGACTTCTGTGGGAGGTAACCTTGACCCCCTCTACGAATGGGACTCAGATGTCTACGTCCATGTGAGGTAAAATAGGGGTGGAGTGTGGGGCTTCCTTCAAATCTATATGCCCAGAGAGGAACAAAGGAGAGAGAAAGAGACTTACTATTACTTCAGGCTTTATTTTCTCTGTTGAAGTTTTGAGACTATCAAGTTAATATGCGCTTACTGTGACAAGTGGAACAATGCCATCAATACAAAGATATGGAAAGTGAAAGCTATCCCCCCCAACCCCACCCCACTGTGCAGAAATCATTGTTACCCATCTAGTGTACCCTTCCACAATGTTCTTGTTCAGCAACCTTATACAATCATAAATGCACATGCACAGGTTATGCTTGCCTGTTTTTATTGGAATAGAGTAGCATGCTGCATGCAACTTGCTTTTTTCCACTTTACAGTATAGCATGGGCATTCCTACAAATGGGAAGACATAAATCTTTTCATGATATTTTATGCATTCAGATACAATTTAACATGAGCAAGCCACTCTAGAAAATTAATTGAACCTAAGGGGGAAGTCGTGGGAACCTCTAATCTGTAGTCAGTAGGTTAGAAGCACAGGTAACTGCCTGCGGCTTTCAACCGGTTCTGGAGTTGAGGGTAGAGGGCAGTCCTGTAGGATGGAGCCCTTAACCTGGGAATCTGGTGCTGTCTCCAGGCAGATAGCATCAGAATCAAGTTGTGTTCTACAACACCCTGCTGGTGTTCAAGAATTGCTTGGTGTAAATATGTGTGGGAATACCCCCTCCCACATATTTATACACATTGGAATTGGGTCTGGGCACCCAAATGAAGCTCTACTACTGTTACTGCTGTGTGTAATATTGTTACTGTTACACATATATGTAGAGAAGAAATACACCATCTCACTTGGTGGGGGATATGCAGGAATGGATTTGGTATCAGAGATATTACAGTGTGAAACTGTAAATACTAAGTAAGGATTTATACATAAAAGAGACAACCCATGAGAAATTCAAGTAACCAATTGGAATGAAGAGTATTAAACTATCTCTGCAAAACTTAGGAGTTTAGGGTAACAGGTGGCAGTTTAGAAGTAAAACTTTCTAAACATCTCATTCGGGAAGATGGGGAAATGAAATTACTATGCTTGTCTCAATGAGGGGAGAGGATGGGAGGTAGTGAGGAGAATGGTTGGTATCTTATTTCATAATACAATTATATTTGTTGAATTATGAAATCTAGGAAAAGTTCCATGTTATACCCTACCTAACTGCGGCAGAGAAGGGGGAAGGAGGAGGAAATGAACACAATTTCATCAAATTAACAAAAAGCTTAAAAAGTAAAACTAATACAACTAAGTAATAAGTAAAATGAAGAAGGAATAAAATCGAGAATATCACTTAACACAGTAAGTTAATGAATTATCTCAATAAAATAAACATCACAGTTAAAATGTAAAACCTAGCTATATGTTGTATACAAGAAACACAGTTGAAATACAACGATAAAGAATTCCTGTCAAAAAGAGATGGGTAAAGAGATAGCAAGTAGATGCAAATATTACTCTTCCTCCCCCTCTTCCTAATAAAGTATGGTAATTTTGATATTAAACAATGTAAAATTTAAAATTAAAACACTAAATAGAATAAGGAAGGTCATCATGAAAAAAGTCACAGTTTATAAGGAAGATAGAAAGGCTCTAAACATGTAAGTACCAAACAGCAGGAAGCTAAATACATAACGTAAAAGTTATTAGAAATGTGAGAATTCCATTTTAAAAATTGTTAGAAATTTAAATATGAATTTTTTATTTTGAACATGTCTAATAAATGTAAGCTAAAGGCATTAGAGTATTTGGATAGTACAATCAACATACTTGAAACCTAGTAGAGAATATGTATTTTTTGTATATACATGAATCATTTGTAAAAACTGATCATGTACTTGGCTGTTTTCTAATAATTCAATAAAATTATTAATAAATTGAATAACAAAAAAACTTTACTATTTGGAAATTAAGGAATCAACTTCCTTTCCAACGAACTCAAAATAGCAATTAGAAACTAGAAAACAATGAAAAGGAGAACAATTCATACCAAAACCTGTTAACAGCAAAAACTGTATTTAGAGGAAAATACAGAATTATAGCCTTAAATTTCATTATTAAATAAGAAAGATAAAGGAATATAGTGACTTTTTTAGAAGAGCAAAAAATTAAAGCAAAAGAAAATAGGAAGAGGAAATCAAGAAAAGTTGATTAATGAAGAAAGGAGATATAGAAAAGGGTAAAATAAAGATAATCAAAGAATACTTACCCAACTTCATATAAGTACATTTGAGACTTACAGAAAACAGTTAATTTTGCGAAATGTCCTCAGAATGGAAATCTGAATAGACGAATTAATTATAATAAAAGTGAGTATTGATTAAAGATCTATGACTGAAAAAAGGTACCAGAACTAACTGGGTTCACAGCCATGTTCTATTTACCTCTAAAGGAAGAACTATTTTAATGTTATTTAAGTTATTTTAGACCATGGACAAGTGGTTTAAAGCTTCCTAACTGATTTTATGAAGCCACAGTAACTTGAACACTCAATTCTGATATGGCAGTACAAAACAAAAAACTTAATGATTGTTAGCAAATAGAACCCCGCAGTGTACCTAGACTGTGACACTGTGGCTATGTATGCTACATTCCAGGAATGCAAATTTGGTTCAAATCAGGAATTGTGGCACTGTAATTCATTACAACAAAGGACAAGATCATATAATTAAATGCTGAAAAGCCATTTGATA